AGATAGCATTACTATTGGAGGTGCTGCTATAATATATATGGGGTCTACCATATGGCTACAGCTGTGTGGCACCTGGGCTGTAAAAAGGGGAGCTTGGGAACAGACAATTATTTCTAGCATTACTTGTGGTGGGGCTGATTTATGGTGGGCTGGAATCAGCAGCATGAAATGACAGTAGTTACAGAACTGTTTTTTATGATCAGGTGGCATTATGTGGGGTTCTGCTGACTGATGACATTCATAGGATTAGGACATCTGAGAAACAAAAAACTCTGGTTTCAACCCCCTGTCAAGGAGTTTTTATTAGGAGGTCCGAAAACATGCAATTTGTGTCTTCCTGGTAGTTCCTGTGCCCTGGGAAAACTGAAGCTGGTCTTTGTAGCTTAAATCAATTAGAAGAAGGATGTAGGATGCCTTTTTTGTTTTAGGCACATATTTTTCATGGTTGCATTCCAGATAAAATGCTGTTCTGTCAGGGATTCTAATCACCTTTCAACCATTTATGTAAAATACCTGTCTCCGAAAGAGGTAATGAATGTGATATCCCTGAGGCTTGAAGACTGCTGGGATGTCAAGTGCAACTGTAATGAAGTGAGATGTGGGCATTATTCTCAGGCATGAGGCTTCCCGCCACCACTGACTTGGCTGCCACATTGTGTGTCTCTCTGAGATGTGGGAGACAAGGTAAAGAATGTGCAAAGTCGAAATAAATTCACTCTACAATGCTTTACAATAAGGTCACCTCTGATGTAAGGCTAGTATTTAATGGCCACCAGCTTCATTATAAATCTGTTATCATGAGCATCTGCTCTGCTGAAATTGTGAGTCTTGGGAGAGGTGGCAAGATTGATTTAAAAGAGACCTGTGAGGTGAGCAGGTGGGAAAGAGAAGGGAGCAAATGTGTCATGTCAAACCATGACATTTCAGGTGATCTACACATCACTGCCCGTCTTTTGGACCTCAGCCCCTGCTCTAAATAGCTATTTAAAAACTTGGAATTGACAGCCAGAGCAGGAGCCAAGACCTGCGGCAGGCTGGGCAGCATCTCCCCTTCCCAGGTGAGCTGGTTCCAAAGGAGACACAATATGCTGCAAGCAAACCTGTCCCCTTGTTATTTCCAGCTGCACATGGACCCAGGCGGATGCTGATCCTTGCTAGGGAATGCATCAGATGGCAATTTGGGCCTGCACTTGTTCTTAGCTAGAACATCACAAGAAGAAGTATTAATTTAAATTTTCAGTCATGAATTTCATTCCCTGCTAATGCTGAGAACATACTGGTTTTGGCATGGATAGGTTACCTAAGAAGAGAAAGCATTTGCCACCTTTACTTCTATTTGTAGAAATGAACTGGAACAGTTAACCAGCATGCATTGCTTAGAAAATATGCTCCCTACTATGTTCACGTAAAATAGAACTTCTGAAATAGTCACTTTTTATTAGTGCTTCTTAACTGTTGAATAAAATGGAACATTGAGATAAGGGAACACAAGGCACGTTCCAGGCATAATACATTCTGAACATGCTGCTCTCATCTAAAGAATCCAACACTTAAATATGTCAATATCATATTATTAGTCTGTTACTGTGTTTGCTGTTCTGAAAGCGATGAAGTGAACATGACTTAGAATTTCAAAAAACTTAAAGAGAAAATCTATATAATTATTGAAGCAATACAAACCAGGAAAATCGTAATGGCTTCCAAACTAGAGTGCATCTGACAGTCCCCATTTCTTAGCTCTCTGAGTCTTGTACAATTTTGTTTAAGTAAGTCTGCTATTTTGAGAAACATTAGCTCTTGTCTCTCCCTTTTACAGTCTGCTAAATAGGCTGTATATCTTCTAACCCTGCAGATGACAAAATGCACTCCTTCACTACAGCCTACGCAGTGCTAGATCATTTCAACCTTTTTGAGTAAATGACACACAACTCTATAACTGCGTGATTAGGACCATAGATTACCAGATTACAGCTATAAATCTTCACCATAGCTACCACTCACTTGGCAGAAATAGTGAAGTTTCATCATTTATTCTCATGTAGAAAACATGCTGTGAAATGCAACCTCAAAGGTCACTGGGATGGCATTTCCTTTTGTGGTCCTTAGTAAACTCACAGCCCAATTACCTCCATGTTGGCTTCAGAGAATTTCTTGTCCAAAGTCTGGACAATTGGATTCCACTCCCTTCAGTTAATAAGTGAGGTAGACTAAGGTATTCATACAATTGTCAGACATTTCTGAAACACGCTATTCAAGCAATAAGGGCCCATCTGAATGAGGAAGTTGTGCCAACAGAACTTGAATGGGTATTTAAGTAGCACTAAAAGGACCCGTGCAAAAAAGGTGCATGAGCACTTGTATTTCAGTGCTAGTTTTATCTAAATTAACCTGTTCCCATTCCACCTAAATCCTGCTTAAATGGAAAACATTGTACATCTTTTTATATAAATATATTCCCCACGAGGTTTGCATATATATACATCTATAAAAATATAAATTACTGTTTCTGATGCAGTTCCTCAGTTTGTGAGCTATAGTCACATACTCAGCATTTATTTAAAGATAGACTTTGGAGACATTGTACAAACTAATACATTTCCTTTGTTAGCTAACAAAGGGGGATTTGACAAGCTGCACAGCTTTCATTATAACCACATTTATATTATAGTTGCTAACTTGTGAGTTGCACCACTTAGGAAAGCTAGAAAAGGAACTGGTATAATCTACTTATTTGGCAACAGTCCAGCACTGATATATGCTCTTCAAATCACAACATGTTTGACTGAAATGAAGCCAAACTTTTAGAAAGGAGAAAAGCTAAACTATAATATGTTAGAAGGGCCTGTATCGCTATTACAAGATCCAGCTCTTTGTTCAGTTAAAAAAAGAAGATAGCTACATTTTGATACTAAGCATATGGGCGTTATTATCCCTTTTCCCTGCTCTCCATTTTGCTTTCCTTGGAGGAAATAATTGGTAGAGCTACTTTCAAGAGGTTGAACTATAGGTACCTGACATGTACCTGCCAGGAGCTGAGCAGAGTAGAATGGCATTTAACAGTGGTCCCTGTCTGCCTGCCCCCTGGAAAGGTTTGCTTCCAGACCAGGAGGATTTTGTCTGGTTTGTTTTGTCTTGCAGGTCGCTTTCCTGTTTATTTCATTTATACCCCATTGGCATTTAAAATGATGCCTGCTGGCTTTAGATGTATTTCAGCTCTCACCAAAATTACTCTAGGTCATTTCTCCTTTTCTGAAGTAGACAAAAGGAAATCACTAATTTATGGATAGCCCTGAATTCCATCTTGTTTCTGTTAGTACACTCATGTGCAGCTATTACCAACAGTAATGGTGACCTTGGATCTTACTTAGCATTGTCTTTAGGTTCCCAAATGTTGGAAGAGACATATAGGTATCACCTTTTTGTACAAGAGACTTGCGCCACTTAAGTCCAAAATATCCCAAGTGTAGGAACCTTTCAGGCATGCCACAAATATTTGCATGGGAAGAATGTTGGAATGTACTAAGTGTAGGATAGCCAGTGCAGTAGGACAAGAGATGGTGGTTTTGAAGATACATGGCTGTGTTACTGGTGGAAAGGTTTTTTCACTGCTGCTCAGACATTAGCTGTATTTCTGGCTTTGTGTTGGAGTATCTGTGGCTTTGGACCAGCATCTGCTTTCTTATTTTAAAACTATAAGTAAAATCACATAAACAGAAGGAAAAGCTTAAGAGGAGCTAATAAAACTATTAGATTAATACAATGTATAAACCTGAGAGGAAGTGTGTTATTCAAAGTCAACTGCATAAGCAGAGCTGCCAGCTTTAAGGAAGGAGGTAGTGGATTATATGTGAGAAGAAACTTCTTGATGAGATGCGTGAGAATTGCTTTAGTAGTTTAAGCCCTGTCAATGAAAATGTTCCAAGAAAAGACCGCGATAATCGGTAACAGGGTTGGAATAATACTCTTGCATGCCTACAGTTCAGCCCTCATTCTAATGATTGTCTGATATGTCCCACAATCCTGCAATTAATCCGTCACTGTCACAAGTACCAGTAATATAATATACTCCTAAAATAAGCAAATTAAACTTCTAAGACAAACTGATCTTCTTACAGTAGGTAATTTCAGGATGATAATTCATGCATACAGCATATTTTACTACTGGTGATCAGTATTACTACTACACATCATCCAAACATATTAACAAATACAGTAAAATAAACCAGCTTTTTTCCTGTCTCTGTAATACTTGGGGTTCATCTCTGGATTTCCACCCATTTCAGTATTAATATGGAATGATACACATAAACTTAGCCAAGTTTTCACATTCCTGCCTCACAAGATAGAAAACTATTAAATTATTGTGTTTCATACATTGAAACCTCCACCAGTGTCACCAGAAGAAGTGGGAATGGAAATGGCCATTTTTTGTGCATGGTATTGATGAGAATTGTACATTGGTGCCCTCTACACACACTCTGCAGAACTGCATTACTTTGGACTGGTTTGAAATAAACTTGAAAACAGTATGTGATAGATTTAAATAATTAAGCAGTATTTCAGGAGCTAGATGAAAGGAATGAACCATTGCAATAACAGTTATATTTTATTAGATTTTAAAATAGCATAAAATGCTATTTTCCCTGAATAGAAATGCTATTGATTCAGTATTGCCACCAATGATTTACAACTTTTTCTGCAAAACTCCCTGTTTTCTCTAAAAAGAAGGGTCCTCTTTTCTAATAATATCTTATTCCTGTTAATTATAGTTACTTTATTTAGAAAATTATGAGTTCAGGAAACTATTTAAAAAAATAAGTAGATAAACCATGGGCATATACAGGGAGCAGAAGCACAGTGCAGAGGTCCTGTTTTGACTAGGAAACCTTTCAGAAGGGAAACTATTTACCATCTGGTTGTAAGACACCAGTGAAGTAAATAGGATAAGGGTGAGAGTGTAAGTGTTGGGGAGGTATTAGTAGAAATAAAAAGTGACTTACAGTTGAACCAATGCACGTGAACTGGGCTTCAGACTGCCTTGAAGTCAGCAGTAGCTGTGAGTTACTGGTGAGAATGCAGGTGATGAGGACCTAGCAATAACAAGCACCATGTGTCAGATAATTAAACAACAAAAAAAGCTTGTTTATAACAAGACCCAAAAGCTGATGGGAATCAAATGATTTTATAACATGATAGCCATGTTATAAAAAGCACTCCAGCTACCCATTTTAGCAGTAAGTCCCCTCTACTCTCCATATGTTTCATACTATGTAACAGTCCCAGATCTGCTGCCTGAGCCTTCTCATCATGTTGGATGACAGCAGGCTTACACTACACACAATGGTAAGATGTTTGTTGTTGGAAAATCATGCAGAGGAGTAAGTGTTATATGAGGAGCCTAAATGGAGCCCCACTGTTTCTTTGTGTGCTTTCTCAGCTAACAGCACTGCTGATAGCGCTATTAAGCAGTCATTAGCACCATGGCTGAAAGCTTGGCTTCTGCTGATAATAACAGGCAATTCAGTTTTTTGAGTCTGTGTAAGAAAGAGGGCACCTAAATGAGAATAATGAGGTCATTCTATGACATGCCTGAGGATATGAAACCATGGGTAACTTTTTAGCCCGCTTGAGATGTGAATACATTACATTCAACTATGACAATTATTTCTAGCCTTCAAAAACAAAGCATCTTCCATTAAGTCCCACCATACAACACAGCAGATACAATAATCAAAACACCAATGCCCCCAATAAAGCACAACCTTCAAAATAATTCTGTGTAAGACAATCAAAAAGAAAACATATGTATGGACAGATAATGTGAAGTACAGCAAGGGCTTGAGATAGTGTCAGGAAAACAGCAAAATGTAATAGCAAAGTTAAAAAGGGTTCTATGATAAAAAGATTGCTTCCAATTTTGCACAATGTTTTCTTTCAGTGAATGAGATGCATGGACTATTTTGGCTTTGAAAAGATGAACAAACTGAAATTTAATTTCAGACCTTGCTTGCTTGGAGCAATTCTGTTTCTCTTAAAACAGGCTCACTTTCTGTTGCAAACGGGCCTACCATTCCACAGCAGGTTTTGCACCACAGGGCTATTTCAAGATTCTTTATGTGATTGAGCAGTCTGGGTTTGAGCGGGACTATGCTGTAGCTGTCTATTAGGCAGGACATTGTTCTGCTTCCTACCTGTATTACCCCACAGGTTGTATTAGCCTATGACCTGCCTAGGTCTATGGATTAATATGGTTCAGTTTATTGGTCAGATTTGCTGTTTAACACTCAAAATTTACAACAGCAGTAGGAAAAGTCTTCCTTTTTTTTTTTTTTTCTTGTTGCTCTCCAAGGTTGCTTCTTACGTTTCTGATTACAGAGGGGGTGCTCTGCGAATGTTCCTGGGCATGCAAGAGTGTTACAACTTTCAGGCTGTGCTACTGAACAAAAGAAGCGTGCTGGCCCTTAGCTCTTTCTTCTTCTGGGAAACTCAGTAACCTTTGCTAGAGGAGATGTTTGTGTGCCTAGTTTAGCTTCAATTTTATTGTATTTTCATTTTGAGTTGAGTGGTGTCATATGTGTGTAGTTATGGGAGATCTGTGAAATACCACTTCTTTGTATTTAGCTTCAGCTTCTGCATGTTTGTTTAACGTTAGGGCTTAAATGCACAAGCACAGCTGCTAAGAACTCAGTGCTCAGCTTTAGGAGCTCCTTCCTGCCCTGGGCACCCATAGCAGGTGCGGTTGGTTGAATACCAGGGGGTGTTGCCTGCGCTGGGGAGGACCTTTCCTTTCACTGGCTGCTGCAGTGTCACCTTCACACACCATGGGCCTGCAGAGAGGGGATGGGCACAGGGTCCTTTCCTTGGAAACCGCTGAAAACTTACTTGTAGAGGCTTCAAGGAAAGGGGAGTGGTTGTGAGAGCAAGGGCAGGTAAAAACATTTTGCTCTCAGAGACCTCTGCTTACTGGCAGGTGGTTTCTCTTTGTGCCCATACATGAGTTACCCTAGAGGGAAATGAACTGGCAAGTTTGCTTCTGTTCCAGTTTCTCTCCTTTTGATTTCCATTTTCTTTGTATTCTTGATTTTTCACAAAGGATTAACTCGGCAGTTCCATTTAGACTAGAAGAAAAGTTTTCATTCAAATTATTGAGGGACTTTACAGGCTGTGTTAAACTTTTTTACTTCATATAGCCCTCAAGCTTATTAAAGTTGTTTTTTTGGTTAAAGATTAATGAGTGATTGCTCTTTTTTAGTGGATACCTTTAAGATAAAGCCTCTTCAGTACTGTAACTGGGAGTAAGATGCACATGTCCTACCTGAAAGGTGATTACACGTAGTGTTTGTTTTATAATCCTGGTGCTTCATTAGATGCTTGCTGGTTACAAATTATCTATCAGCTCAAACATAACTGTTAATTCTGATTACCTCTAATCTTGAATCACTAACAATTCACCCTGAATTCAAACAAAAGACTATCCCAGAAGAACGGGAAGGTAGAAAAAGGGACTGTGTCATGGTATCTTTCTGGTACATAAAATAAAGCCTTTTAAAATATGCCATAGATTTTTAAATACATTTTTAGGTCATTAGCAGAAAGGATAAAATGAAAAAAATGGGCAGAAACAGACCCTGAGAGCTGCACCTGGAAGATTTTGACTCATATTTATCATAGTCATGATTTATACCTTGGGCAGGCTTTTTTCAAAGCTGGAAAAGTGGTTCTGCTGTTTATTAAATTAATTGCATAAGCCATGATATTTAAATATAACATGTATTCATTAAAGACTGTAAAATCTGTGAAGTTCTATTAAAAGCCAGCAGCTAACACAGACTGTCATTGCAGGAGGCAGGTCTGGCTTTCCAACATCAAGCGGTGGCTTAAGCTTTACTTGTATTTCAGACATATTTCTTCATTATGCACTGGATTAATCTGCTTCTGTATTTGGCTAGGAGGAGTAAGAGACGACTCTCTGGGAGAGATTTCCCACTACTTTAACGCTGTTCCTTTATGTACTGAACCTTTAGATTTCTACAGCATGTCCTGTCATATTCATTGTGTGTTTCTAGAGCCCAAGCAGTCAAAATTAGGTCACACAGGAACATTAGATCTTAATATTTTAGGTCTCAATCTTAGTTAATTTTTTTTTTCTAATCCTTACATTTACAGGGAGAATTAAAGCTGTACAGAAAGACCCCAATGCTGAATAAATGCTAATTAAAAAGAATTCAGATTGTACTGTTGTCCATCTCACAATTTTTGGGTCAAATATGGGTATTTTAAACCATTTAAGTTTTTGTCATCATGAGATCAGCGAGAAAGTGCTATTATCAGAACCTAATCTGCAGAATCTTAAACTCCTTTTAAACTCTTTCATTGAATGATTTTATTTGGCAGAGCAAAGTAATTGTCTCAAGTACAAAAATGCTATTGAGAAGAAAATCAAGCTGGTCTGGAATCTGCAAACTTAAGAATTATTCTCATCTGGATTTCATTATATCTGAATCATCTTAATTTTTAAATGGCTACGTAATTTGGATCACAACGATTCTGAAGTTCTGTAATGGGCAAGAGTTCTCATGAAAATATCCTAATGCCAACTCATTACCATGTTATGACACTGCTGTCCATGAGAGGTAATTATGACAAGATTATCTACCAATCATGAGGGTTGCCTTGTTAAGATATGACTTTTTCCATTGATTCTAATAGAACAGATTTGCCTTTCTAGAAGAATATTTTTTGAAAAGGAATTAGGTGTCCAATAATAACCAGTGTGTTTTTTTTTCTCCTCTAGTGTTCATAATGGCTTCTGGGCTTTTGGTTTACCCTTTTGGTTTCAACTCTGCTACTGTGAAGAGATTCTGTGAGAATTCAGACATCTACTATGCAGGAGACTGCCAGATTGGATGGGGGTATATGCTGGCAATTGTTGGGGTCATGTTGTCTGTCTTTTTACCATTCTTTGCAAAATATGCACCAAAAGAGCACATATCTCCAACTCCAATACCTACTATTTTATAGTATTTTATTACTGTTTAAGAACAGAACATTCCTGTCTACAGGCAATGGGCAGAAATTCTTATAGCACTTCCATTTAGCTGTATTGCTAAAGAGAAAAAAGGAGATGGGGAAGAGAAGGTCAGAATCACAAAGACCAAAAGTGCATTGATAGTCTTCCGTAAGTATGAGCAGCGAACACTCTGGAATTGAAGATTAATCAGCAGCTTTTATACTGCTCTAAACATACAGTGGCATAATGCCTTAGACAAAACCAATCTGTTTATCCTCAAAACATCTGTCTACCTCCCAGTTTCTTTTGTGTCTCAAACTTGTAAGTCTTTTAAAAGTTTCAGTTCACTTTTTATATATTATTGTCAAAACTTTTATGAACCCAGTAATTTTAAAGTCAGTAATGGTATTTTGTTACAATTATTTTGATTAGTGAAAAAGCACCTGCTAGGAGCCACGGCCTAAAATTAAGCTGAGTATCTAAAAGGAATTGTATACAAGAAAAAGATTTCGTTTTAATCTATGTATATTACTAGAACCTGCATATTGCAAGTTGCCAGCACACTTTTTAATACTTATCTAATATTCAAGATATAGTCATCTTCATGAAGACCTGCATAAAATTTAATTACATTTTTTCAGAGAGAGAGGTATCTGACTACTTCCAAAGGCTTCATGATGGTTTAATAGTTTAACAATAGGGAAAAAGAATTTGTTTTCTGTATTTCTTAAATTATCATTTAGGTGAACTTTACAAAATTATTTGAACTATTTTAACTGAAGATTTGGGGTTTTGTTGTATGCTTCTTAAGGCTGAAAAGAAAAATCTGTTTATGAAAATGCCCGACGGCCCTTATGTGTAATGAAAATACAAGCCAGAATGAACTAGATTCTAATATTTCAATTTCTATTAAGAGCCCACTATTGTAAAAAACAACCCCAAAAGTGAAATGCTACTGAACATGATTAATAAGAATCTCATGCTGTGTCAGAATCTGTAAATGGCCATATTTCATGAGTTTGTATGTGAATTTTGTGAAGTTTGATTTTCACAATAGCACTGAATTCATTACTATCAAGCACTGAAATAAGTGCACTTGATTGCCTTAAGCAAAAGAAACATTGGGTTCTAATCTCACCCCACTGTTAGGTTTTTCATTTAAATTAAAATTGAATTCTAGTTCTATGTTCTTTATTTTCTATTATTTATTTAAAAAAAAAAGAAATAATCACATAGATTATATTTAATTCAGAGCTGTACTTCTTAGTTTTGTATTTTGGCACAAACCAAGTGATCAAATTTATTATTCTTCACTTAGCTGAGTCCAACTGATTCCTGAATTTATTTTTTTTCTGAATGAAAAGGGTACATGAAGGGACAGACAGAGACACGTTGAGGATGTGTAAGAAAACTCGAACAGAACAATCACTGTGTTTTAATAAATGTCAAAGACTTCTGCAGCCTTGTTTACATTCCTCACCCTTCTAAACTTCAATGGAACATTGCATTGTTTTCCAAAGCAATTGTCTGTTGTTACACTTGTATGCACTCTAAAAGCAAATCCTGTATGTAAAAGTAACAAGTTCCAATATTCATCTTTGAAAGTGAGATTTCAGTGTGGAATTAAGTACACTGAGAGAGAGAGCACAAGCTATGTGGGTTTTCTTACAGTGACTAAGGAATTAGATCTTCCACATAGTTAACAAAATAGGTTGAAGGAATGCCACTAAAGTAAGAATAAATTTCAGTCACTTCTGTATAGTAGTGTACTTTTCAGTAATGTCATTTTTTTTAATGAATGGCTGAAATTGATAATGTTCATAAAAGAGTCAGAAAAGTGATGAATAACAAACATGTAAAGAGAAAATAATCATCGTGAAGTAGAGAGACGGAGATGCAGGCTTTTCATTCCTAACCAACCTGTGCCTTTACTGTAGGACCATTATACAAGACAGGATCAATATGGTTAAAAAAACCCAACAATCAACCAACAACTGGAAAATGTTGAATGATGTGTATAACTGTATTATGTAGGGGGTTTCTGTTTTGTGTAATGTTTACGACTGTTCACTTACTGTTTCACTAGAAAAAGTGATTTGTTAGTGTAAAGTAGAAAATTTTTCTGCAAAGATGTAAACACAGAAAGTAAAATTATTTTAGATTTTTATTAACAGCCATTAACATATCTAACAGACCCAGATGACCTATTCCTGTCATATCTTTCACATGTGCAGAACTGGACCATCAATCAGACAACTGAAATCAGTAGGACTGCATCACTGATGCCACACACAGATGCTCGCAGGACTGCTCCCATAGCTGCAGCTTCCTTTGTAGCTTTAAATTACTGTTACAGTGGCGTCTTACAATTTACAACACTGCTGTACCAAATCCTTTACTTCTTAAAACAACTTCTTCTGTTGTGAACATTGTTCAGCTTTACATCCTTTTATAAGTTAAGCTAATGCTTCCATTTGGAACTTTATTTTATAATATATAAAGGAAATCAAATATATGTATATGACCTCTATAACTGGATAGACAAAACTCCCCTTGAAACACCCACACTCAGAACCAGCTTAGCACAGAAGGAAGAGATGATAATACAAGTGATTCTTAAGCAGTTAGTAAAGCGCATACTTTAAATCCTCAACTGGAACCTTGAGGGGGGTATTGCTAACCACACATGCTAACACTGACAGATCACTTTTTTAAATAAAGACTGTCTCCGTGTTAAACTGTGTAAAGGCGTTTTTCTGTTAGAAGTCAAATGGTTTACTGGACCAGGTTCAAGTTTTATTCTAAATACATAATTTTTTAAGTGTAACTAAAGGCTGTATTTTCCATTAATGTGTTTCTGCGTTGACTAGCTGGCTCCTTTTTAGAATATTAACTGTTTTCTGTATTTGACTTGTTGGATACAATATTTCAATTATTTTAATTGTGAAATTTCCAACTGCCAACACTGTATAATAAAATAAATTTAAAAAAATATCACACTGTTCAGTGTTTTCTTGACAACTCTTTTGTTTTACAATTCCCAATAGATCTGGTACAAAGCTTTTGAAGTAAGGGAACTAGCTAAGGGAAAAGGAAAAAGAAACAGCAGGAATAATCTATGAAAGTCCATGTTTGAAGGCAAAGACACATAAACATGCATATGGACTATCCCTAATGAAAGATGTTGCTATGGCAAAAGCAAGGAAGTTCTGTGTTCAAATAATTATTTCTCCCCAACTTCCTTAGAGTCCTTGGGCAATCTTCCTACAGCTTCAGGGTCTGCTGCTGTTTTATACAGGTGTTATACTGATTATTTATTTAAGAAAACCCACGAATCAGATAACATATCAGCAGGAATCATATGAATACCTAATATATACAGCTGCATCCTGTGAAGTCTTTCTGTATTATCTATTTATTTCTAGAAAAGCTTTTACACATTTCCTTGTAAGCCAACAAAGGAAAGGGAATCTGTAAGCCAACAAAGGAAAGGGAATTCTGAAGTGGAATAAAGACTACCTTCTTACTTCCTACCAAAAAGCAGCTTTAATGCAACATGCAGAGTCAAAGAAAACCTTGCGAAGAATATAGTCAACATCTTGAAACAGATATTGAAGGAATTTCTAAATATTGGAGGAAATGAAAAGCAATGACAATCTGAAGTAGGATTGATGATCTTTTTCAAAGCCACTTGCACTACTGCGAAGCTTAAACATTTTAATTCTAAATTTCTCCAGTAAAATCTAATCTACTAGCTAACAAACCCCTGTTATTGCATATTTAACTGGGAAAGATAAGCTATAAAATGTAGTAGTGAAAACAAAACACTGTTAATAATCTTTTTGTTTGTAACTGTTACTAACATTTGTTCGATAACACAGTATAGTGCTATTTAGAATTACTGAATCAGATTTTCAGTATTAGTGTTGGCAAATGCTTTAGGATATTCAGCTTTTACTGGTAATCATTACTGAAAATTGGTTCCGGACAACCCTTCCAACTTCTAAATTTCATTCACTGTTTTGACATATGTTGTCATCTCAATATCTGCAATTTTAACAAATTCCTGGAAAGTGTTTTGTTCTTGAATAGTTGCTGGTCTTACAGAGACACACTTTAAAATGTTCTTTTTTGCGTCATAGTTCCCCATGCACCTGTGCACGTGGCCTCTAATTAGTCTTGGAAGCTCCCGGTCCTTCATCGAAAGCATAATAAACAAATTAAAAAATAATATCACCTAACAGAAAAGCTTTCAAAATGTCTGAAGTCTACATCACAAATTGAATTCAGATCAGTTTTTTTGTTATCAACTGAAGCTGAACTGAAAGTCCTACTTTTTTTGCCAAAACAAAAGTCTGAGGATGCCGGAATAGTTACTACATTATTGCTCTAAATCAGGCTGGGACAAGATGGTATAAGCATCCAGCTTCCCTGTTACATAGTAATTTTCTGTTTTATCAGAACAACCTATTATTAGCCTCATAAATTACAGCTAGTGGTGTCTGTTACATAGAGACACAGAATACTTACGATTTCATAAAATACACAAGGCAGACTCTCCTTTCCATCCCTCAAAAGGAAATTCTTAGCCCCATATGTTCCAGGTGTGACTGCAGAATCCAGGGTGCCTGCAGTATGAATCAAAAGATAAATCATGATGCAAACATCAGAGCGGTACTAATATAATACACAAAGATACCATGACAGCATCTACACACTAAAGCACTACGAGATAGAAAGTCAGCATCAGCTTTTTGGGAGAACTTGTGCTGACAGCTGTGGAAGTTCCAATATTATTATGTGCTTTACACAGTCTTTCGGCAGTACAGTTGCATGTGTCTCTCTAAACTGCATGACTAAATGTGGTTTTCAAAACCGTCACTGTAAACAGGTTATTCCCTCCTTAGGCACACAATTCTCTAAGGTTTTCATATACAAATCAACTTTAAATATTTGCAACCTGGTCAAAATAATAGTTTCTTGGGATGCCATTACATTGCATATTACCTTGATTTAGTCATTCCAATCTTTCGTCATGTTCATTTCTCAGGTAACATCAATTAAAACCAAAATGAAACACACTGAAAGCCATCTGTGTTTAAAAGTGCTCCAGACTAGATCAATTGTATTAAAAACTACTGTAAAACTGTACCTCTGTACAGAAGGTTCCTATTAAATAGGAAAAATTATGGTAGCACATTCTAAAAACAAGGAAAGAAAATGAACAGGACAGAAAGCTTAAATGTTGGGGAATGACCATATTATTATTTTTGTACCTATTTTAGCCACCTTTGATAGCTGAACGGATGTCCCAGCAGGACAATCAGAATGCTCAGGCCAGTATTTCGTGCATTTGAGTATTTCACCTATTGTTTCTAAGGCTCTTAAATTTTCTCTTGGCTATTGTCATACCATTATTATCAGTTATAGCACAATCTTCCATGCTTACCTAAAACTTCAAATAGCAGTGGTGTTTTATAAGCATATTGACTCCAGTGCCTCATACTTTCAATGACTGCAGATATGATACGCAAAGAATTCTTTTTTTCTTTAATTTTTAATTGAGATGATGAAAATTCCTTTCAGAGGAACATGAAAACTCAGGTCAGAGATAAACACTCACGCAATTTTAAAAGACACAGACATTTAGATATTAAAAATCCAGTATTTACATTAAAATTAGTCTACAAACAACTCCCTGTCAATTTATATGATCCCACTGAGGACTGTAGGTTACTATAGTATGAAAATCTCAATTCTAAGTTTTCAGAAACGTAAGGGTTTTCTAAGGCAGCTAGGGCTGATGAAAGCCTCATCTTCCCCCAGCTTCCATTTTTTTACTTTCTTTCTTCATTTTATTTTCCTATTAACTCTCTCCATAAGTTTACCTGACATTTGTCTTCTGGAACACAGTCAAATTTGTTTTCATTTATTTTATTTTGCTGGATATTGTAGGTAAATTTATATGCCAGACTATAATCCTGCAGACTTCTTGAAACAGTGGTAGGTTTCATTGGCCATTGACCTTTAGATGTTGATGTTTGGCTGGTTTCTGTTGTTTTCAGAAGTTGGGATGAATTACGATTATTAGGGGGTTTTTGCTGCTGAATGGTTTTCACACTATATGAAAGGCTGTCAAACTTTCGAATAATTCCACTCTCAGGTCTTGAATCTTTCGTGTTACTTAAAGGAGCATACGCATTTCTATTCCAAACTTTAGCACTGGGACTCTTCTCTTCTGCCCTGCAGCACAACATAAGGTAGTTCAGTATCACAGTATCTATTCCAAATACTCAGATGCGTAATTAAAGTCTGTTAAAACAACCTACATATTGTTGGTTTAGCTTCAGAAACATCTGTTAAATATTCAGACTCAAAGCTAAAATTTACCCATATACAGGGCAGCGATCTCACCTGTGCTTAAATCCAGCTGAATTCAATAGGCCTGAAAAGCTTGCTCAGTTATTGTCCCACCCTCTATAAGGGATCTTTCTGACCTAAGATTCACTACTTTTGCATAACTCTCAAAATAAGAAAGCTTTCTCCTGAGAGTGGTATTTCCAAATTTTTCTGTAACCATCAATGAAGAAACCATTTTAAAACAAACTCTAGTCCTGGCCTTATTATTTCTAACACACTTTTTTATAAAGGCACTCTGAAGTTTCTTCCACCTCCATTCCATCTTGCCTTTGAAGGCACTTGTTTCTAACATTCATTTTCTTTTTGCCATTGGAAAGGAACAGGAGGAAACAAAGAGAGAAAAAGGACAATTATAACATTGCTGAAAGTTCCAGCCAGCTCTAAGCATCTGAATTTGTAAGCTTTTCCTAGGTTTGTAAAAGCACAGTGTTCAAAATCATATCCAATTTTGATTAAATGTTTTGATATAAAATTGCCCTAACATACGCTGATAGAAACTTATTTGAATCTATTGGTAAAATTGGAAAGTGGGCAAAACTTTAAGGAAAGGGGAATCTCAAAAAAAATACATCTAAGACCAGCAAAATTCAATCAACTTGTATGGTAAGACTGAATTTTAGGCCTGACAACAAGGCTAGGTATTAGGTCTAATTAGCAGACCTCATTAGGTACACTGGAAAGATACTGGATTGCTGTGGGTTTTTGCTTGTAGGCACAATGTAATTATTTAGGACTACAGTGATGATCTGAGAATTGAAAGGGTCTCTGAATGCTACAATAATGTGGAAAAATCTAAGATCTATTTTCACATGAGAAAATTTTTGTTAAGGAAGGAGAATAAAAATTCAAGATGCCACCAACCTGCAGGCATACAAGTTTTTTTCCAGTATTTCCTAAATAAGACTTTGATGCATTTGGTGGTTTCATAAGGGAAGGAGCCATCACATGTTCTGTTTGGCTTTCAAAGATAAGTTTAAAGTATCAGTAACACAGTAGCAGCTTTATTGTAAGAGACACATGGATGATAGTTTTTGAAACAATTAGTACCCAAATAAAAATTAACACACAACAAATAACATGATTTTACGTACCCACTGTTTGCTGCTTTCTGTAATTCAGCCTCCTCTGGGTTTGCAGATCCCCAGCCTAATTATGAAAAGGCAAAGGACTGAATACGGATAAAAACTGAGAAGATTGGAAAAGTAACATGTCTACTTAGGGCTCCTACTCTTCATCTGCTTAAGGTTCCACAGATTGTCTCACAAAGGAAGGGGAAGGGGAAAAAAAAAAGGGTGAGAGAATGTGATCCTTTGATATCTGTAATTATAAGGCAATTTCTAACAAGTAGGTTGCTTCTCCAGACAATGGTTAAGTTACAGACATTAGACTTATTAGCACAGACTCCTACTTTATTATAAACAAACTTGTTTATTTTATTATATACGAAACATAATTAAAGTACTAAAGGCAGAATTCTGCATCATTCTTCCCAAGCACAATTTGAAGAACAAGTTCTCTTCTGTATTACAAGAAAGACATCTTATAAATGTTTCTTCCTGTGACACAGGACTCGAATGTTGATTGAAATCAACTGAAAACAAAAGGTCAGAGTTTCAAGAGACTCTATTTAAATGCCAGTGCTACTTCATTCTCTAACAGACAAAGAGTCAAACTCCCTCTAGGCATAAAGTATAAAAAGCTCAATTGTATAGAGGAGAAAGAAATTTCCTCGAGGACATTTTTTACATAATGAACTTTTCAGAGATAAACATAATGGATGCATATAGTTCTTGATAAAGACAATGTCTAATTTAATAAAATACAATCATAAAGTTAAGGTCTATTTGGATGTAGAGCCAATTAGAAAAGGAAAAGAAGATCTTATTTACCGTATGATGTGGGAGAAAAGTCATAAGTACAAGTTCCAGAACTGGTTCCTGTCTCATTTTTAAGTGGATTTGAAGTCAGGGGCTGCCTATTTCGTTTTTTCTGATTGAACAGAGGTACAGGCAGATAACCTAAAATTAAAATTCAAATACGAAGATACCAATAGCAAAAGGAGACACAATCTACATTTAAAAATACATAAATAAAATTACTTATTTTAAATCCCCCATAGGAATTAATTTCATTAACACATAACAGACTAGCCACTGCCTCACAGAATTTATATTCCCAACCTTCTGTCCTGCAAATAATCCCATGAACAGAACATTTCCCTCTGATCAGTGCTCTCACCCCATTCAGCATCTTGCCCTGGGCTGCAATAAAACAGATAAGCCATGCAAGTCCACTTGGGCAGTCAGACTCTAGGGCTGAATACTGTATAGTCTCAATGAGTATTGCATGTGTGCGTAACACACACACACACATATATATATATAAGCCTAATGAGGCATGAATGGTAAAGCACAAAAGAATGCTTGGTACCTGCTGTGCTACGAGTTGGAGTGTCAGCTAGGCTCCTTTTCATTTTTTTCCTCTGTCTTAACAGGCAACAGTGTATTGATTCTTCCAAATTTGCTGTATGGAAGTTAGAGAAGCAAAGTAAACTAATTCATGTTGTAATACCCAGATTTTACATGGTTTGATGTCAGTTTCTTTTAACTCTCTGTACACCCAGTTGTACTGGATTTAGAAGATCCAGGGGTACACAAATAACATGCAATACGCTCTTCACAGATTAAGGGCCCAAATGATTATGTTTCTGAAGTCAAAGTTGCATTCTGTCCTTTAAATGCTGTAAAAATACTGAATTCACTTCTGAATTTAGATGTGCATATACATTCAAATACAAGGAATGCTTTTTAACTCTTGAAAAGAGAACACTAATAGAAAATGCATACTTCTACCTTGCTGCAAAGTGTGACAGCAAGGTATATGGCTTTGGTATACGGAATAAAAGCTGATTTAAGTATTCTGTGAAAAATTAGTGTCACACTTCAATAAACCTCTTTTCTGTACTTTATGGTACAGACCTAAAGCCTTGAGTCAATTTTGTTACATACAAAATGCTTCACAAGTCAAAAAACATGATTATCAGCCAAATGTTATAGCATACTAGAGGTAGTTTGAAGTATTTGTTTTCTGATTAATCTATTTCTATAGTAAATGTCTATGTATTACTCTGTACATCAAGGACACTACACAGGCTGTTGGATAGCATTAGTTACTAGTCTATCAAAGTTAGTTACTGGCTTATATTGCCTCTAGCATCATATGAATAACACCTCATACTTGTGTGTATAAATAAGACATCATCTCTACATTTATTCTGATCCGGCAGTTAATCATATGCAGCTGTTAAAGATGTTGATAAGAATGAAGCACAATTATCTGCTACAGCTAGACTAATGGAGCAATTTACACTTCTTTTCCTGTTAGGGTTTGGAAATGCACTGTATTGTAATTGACTTATGTCAATTGCATGTGTGACAACATCAGAGCAGCCCCTACTTAACTATTTGAACTCTATTGCTGGCACTATGCAGCCTAATGGCCACCAGCAAGTGACACGCTTGTAAAACAAAGCCCCATAAACTTGACCTTTCATCTTATGAAGCCAGACCTGGTGTTGCACAGGATTTTAGACTGCATCACTTTGCTTTCTGTCCTCTCTTTAAGAGAAGCAGCCAAAACCCAGAGCTAGAGCTGTAGAAAATAGTTACCTCAGGATGGAGAGCAGGGTGAGCGCCCGCAGCAGCACCAGCACCAGGGTAAAGGAGTCTGAACCCCCGCAGCAGCCCGAAGGATGCGGCTGAGGTGAAGCCCGCCAAAAATAACGGACGAGACAACCCCGTCCTCGCGCCTGAGTGAGGAAAGGGCGGGAAGGCGCTGACAGACCGCGCTCCGCTTTGATGATGCTGCCGGTGAGGGTCTGCCCGCCCGGCCCCAGGCAGGGAGAGAGCAGCAGGAAGGGTTAAATGGGTCCTCTGCGGGGTTTAATTATCTCCGTGCCCCTGGGACTGGCCCAGGTGGTGCCAGGTTCAGCACGTGGAGATCCCGGGGCAGGAGCTGAATACCCACATCTGTGTGAACACAAACAAGGAGATGAATAAAGCTCCTTGCATTCCTCGCTGTTCTGGGTTTTACTCATGGCTGGTTTTCAAACGTTACTGTTTCAAAAGTTACTGTTTTCAACAGTAAGTTCTGAGGGGTTCCTGTGTAAAATCTCAGAGCTCAGCAGGGTTAGAGCCCATCATTTTTATTTCAGTCTGAGGCAGCTTTGGAGAGCCACGTTACACCTCTTAAACTTTGTCAAGAGACTTTGATAGCCAGGCTTCATATATGTTTTATTATTGCATTTGTTTCTCCACTCATGGCACACATTCTAAGCTCTCAGATGCACTACGAGATACTTGGATCTAGTACAGAAAAACAGCCTCACTTCTTAATAAATTAAATATGATCTTACATAATCTGTCAAAGTGTATCAGCAAAGCACAGGAATAAGGGATTGGTCCCAGTGGTTAATTCAGAACAGTGAAACTTTTCAAGTGTCTTCATTTATGCCACGGATTTGTGGGTGCTTGTAATGTTGTGGGAGACCAGGAGTTAAAAACTCTTTAGAAGGGTATAAAAGAAGCCTCCATGGCTTTAGTTCCTAAACTCACGTTTGGAAATACACTGTATCTGTCCTAGGAAATCTCTTCTTAGGAGACAAACTTCTTGCATGTTCAATGAGGTAAGTGCACAGGCAATCTCTGCATTTCACTCAGCATTTTGCAAGGAATTATAACCGCTACAGTACCACCAGCAATAAAAGCTACACGTACCAGCACTGTGTGTCTGTGTTTTGCCGTTTGCTCTTCAAACTGCTGTGGTGTTTAAACTCTGCAAACCGAGATTCAGAGCGTGAGTCATTTTTTCAGGCAGCGTGTAAATAGCCATTTTGGCACCACCACTAAAGAGACTGAGGTCAAAGGACAGAACAGACTGTCCAGTGCTGTAAAATGCAACTTTACTGCTTTGTTTAATAGATTACTTACTAAAATTATGTACCTGACAGCTTCTAAGTACAGGAATAACACAGTTGAGTGTCTAAGTAAACAGCCTCTCTGTATGAGCTTGCTGTAAGGTTCAGCAAATCTGTGTGCACAGGCTGAAACATAGAGGGCAACTTCTGTAGGAAATAATACTCCTGGCAGAACTTGTCTAGGTAAGTCCCATATTTAGCTTTCTGTTCGTAGACCTACCGTCTATCAGCCTGCATTAGAAAGCCTCTCCCAGGCACTAGCCAAATACTCTCTCGGTCACTGGAGTATAATCTTAGTAAAAAGGAATTGTTCAATAAACATTTTTCCTTCCCTTGCAAAGTGGATTTTTTTATATTTGTATCATGTGCCAGATGCTAGTTGCAAATACTTCTGTCACAGCAGCAAAACGCTTATTTTCTGTTATTAAGCCCTCTTACTCTGAATGTTTTGATCCTCACAATGGAAGTTATGGCTGCTCTTTGGCTTGAGTTTCAGAAACCTGTCTGAATGCTTTTGGAACTAGAAGAAGTCCAGTTTTTGACTCAGGTTTGTTTTGTTTTTTTTTGGGGGGGGGGGGGGAGGTGTGACATGACTATTGTGCCATTGTGGTCTGTATCTGTTTCCTTTTTCGTAAGAGTTTGCAGGAGTTGGAAGGGTCGTCACTGGCAGAGTTGTTTCAATGTGTTAGAGGTCTGTGTTAGCAGATTGCAAGATAGAACTAGAGCCAGGAATATTAGGGCAGTCAGTTGTGGATAAATTGCACTTTAATTTCAGCTAGTGTTCCTCTAATCACTGTTCTTCAGATATTATAAAACAAAAAAGGTTATACAAGCAACAACATGCTTTGAGGAACTCAGCTGTTCTTGTTTTTTTAGGTGAAAGTACTTGATGTTTCAGCATTAAGTGCTGATCTAGAGCCAAGATATGAATCTCATTTTACTGGTTTTGCTCTTTAAATAATTCTGCCCTCGCATGCTGTAATGTTTATGTAACTTCAAACATGCATGAGTATACTTGTTACACCTAGTTTGCAATGCAAAAATGTCAGAGATATTTAAGTGCATTATTAAAGTTTACATTAAAAAGGTCTTTTCATACTGTCATTCATACAAGATTTACCTATATATCATATATTAATAGCGATTGCCAGGAGAAGTTAACTTTTGAACTGTGTAACAGTACCATTAACTAAATATGGTAAATGAAGGGGAGGGCTTCTGGAGAGGGAGGAGTGCTGGGTTAGCAACTCCCCGCCTCGCAACGGGAGTCAAAAACTCTTAGAGAAATGTTAATTCACTTTCATTCACATCTGACCTAAACAGGCTTAAAGAATTCGCTATTAAAAAAACAGGTGTGGTTTTGGGTTGTTTTTCTTTCTTTTGAGACAAAAGTTTTACTTTATTTTCTGTTTTGCTTTCAGCACTTCTTAGAGCTGCTGAAAAGCATGACTTCCTCTTCTGTTGTTTGTAAACCTCCGGTAAAACGGGTTGCTATCTTCGGGGGAACTCATGGCAATGAGTTATCAGGGGTATTTCTGGTCAAGCACTGGCAAGAGAATGGAGCTGAGATTCAAAGAACAGGAATGGAAGTGAAACCATTTCTTACCAACCCAAGAGCTGTGAAGAAGTGTATTAGATACATTGACTGTGATCTGAACCGTGTTTTTGACTCTGATAATCTTGGGTAAGAATAGTTGTCCTTTCTGTTGTTTTACTTTTCTGTTCTTTAAAACTGTAAGGAGCTTCCTTTCCAGATTAAAATGTTAACACAAGTTCCACTACTATTTTAACTGTGCAGTCACATAACTGAAATTACTGACCTTTAACCCAAAAAGAACAAATTGTGTGAGTGTTAACAGATTAATTTTAAACTTCTTGCTAGTAGAATGAGTCTAAACCCACATATAGTCTCAAATAAAGCATTTTAAATTAGTGCTGGATTAGTTGTATTTGTGTAAACTTAAGTATTGCTGTTCTGAGTTGCAAAGTCATTATTTCTCACATCTTCTTGTTCAATTCAGCTTTGGAGCTCATTTTCCTGCAAATATAATTGTATTCAGAAAACAGATAAAAGCAATTTAAAGTTAGACATCTGAGTATCTGAAAAAATGGCATACAAATTGGGGAAGTGTATTTACTTTCAGTTATATACAGTGAAAGATAGATAAAAACTTGCAGTCAACCAAGTTAGAAATTATATATTCTATGTCAAAATGATAGCCAAAAAGTCTCAATATTTTAACTGACTCATTATTTTAGAAGAAATTAAATCTATAATTATGTAAGATAGTAATTGATTTTACATTTATAATGGGATTTTATGTTTCTCAGCTTTTGAGACATCTATTCCATAGGTGTACTTTGCTATATAAAAATCCTTATGCTTGGTATAGTTACATGCTAAACAGGTAATCACATTTCAGAAAGGTCTTACTGGTAAAGGTGAATATTACTGAAAGAAACATATATCACTTACTTTGTAAGCACGGTTATTCTTACTCTGCATGTCTTTTCATCTAGCTTTTCATCTTAGAGTTTTGTTGTTACTATATAGAAGATAAACAGACTTTTTAACATAAAGAGTTAACATGTAAGAGTTGAGGTCATTCTTTTAACTGCTTACTTAGGACAAACATATTTATATAAAAAATGAGCTTGTTTGTTTTCAGCTGCTTTGAACATAGAACACTTGAAAAAACAGCAGATTAAGACATCTGCAGGTTGTCCTCATTGAATCATATGAAGTTGCCCAGTCCTATTACAACACTATTAACTGTTTGGAATACCTTCACCTGATCCCTTTAAGTGTAGACTCTTCAAGATTGCAAATGGTTTTACAAAATAAGAAAAAGGAGAGTGAAATCCTGATACTACTGATAGCAATGGTGGAAGTCCTATTGAGTTTGATAAGAAGTATTAATTTAACAGTCTTCTATGAAGAAACCTTGAATTTCAAAGACAGAACTAAAGAATATAAAGGTAGATTATGTGATATATAGAATCATAAAAATACAAAAAGGAGCTCGAGTGGCTTATGTAAAAAATTTGTGTCGTACATCAGTTTCCTCTAAAGCCCTTATACAGACAAGAAGCAGATCCCAGAGCTTTCCTTAGGCAAAGACCATGTTTTTGAAGTGTAGTGCAGACATAATCAGCTGAGATGACACTTATTAAAACTAGAGGAATAGATTTGAAGTAGCAAAATCGTCTATGACTTTTGAGGGTCAGGAGGGCTCAAAACAATACACTGTAAAAGTCTGATCAGAATGTGAGAAGACAAGAAATGAAATTACAAAAGACCTTGTGAGTGATGTCCAGGCAAAAGGGCAGGGACTGTTATCAGAATACCATCTGCAGTAGGAGCTGAATCCAGTCATGGAAGTGATTTAAGTTGTTGATAAGTTTTGAACTATTTTGATGCATAGGGGGAAATTTTTAAATGTAAATAAGTGAGAAGAATATAGGCTCCAGCTAAAATCAGATTAAAAAATCTTTTTATCCTTCTACACAAGGTACGGAATAGTAAGACCTGTTTAAAAATCATACTTGCTTTTTTCAAGCACAAAGTTTTAACAGTTTGCTAACAAAATCGGTGATTTCAACTCCAGTCAGTTAATGGAATTAAAGAAAGGGTATGCATATGCTGTTGACTGTAAAGCCATGGAATGAGTTTACTAATTTCTTTGTACTGATATTAACAGCAGGCCAGTGG